ACTATGTTGGTGGAAACATTAAGTAGGCAGGTTATGGCAAAGCAGAGATTTCAGCTACAGGCCTCAGATGCATCAGATGACACTCAGCCTTTTGGTTGGCAGAAACTAAGGTTTTGTTAAGTTAATACATTCCAAAAGGTTTCTAGATGTTAGTCACAGGGTGCTAGGTCAGACAGATGTGGCCAAGGAATGGTTATTTAGGGGGCCAAAGATAGCCCAAGATAAACTGTAATTAAACTCTGGACCTGCACGTTCCAAACTCCTCACAGTCATCGAAGTTCTGATTAGCTGATCAGCTTTGCTGGAGGTTCAGTGTTAAGGTGTAGCTTCTTTCCGGGAACTTTCACATCAGACATGGGCTCCTTGGGTCTCAGTTTCCTTGGGTGTCAAATTAGACTCATTTTTCTAGCTTGCTTTCCAGCATCCTGGAACTAAACAAGAAAAGATGAAAGTATTTTGCAAATTGTAAAGTATTACAGGAATAAATCAACCAGAATGAAGTGGGAAGCCAAAGATGGCTATGGACTCAGATTATGGGCTCCGCTTTGGCTGCAGGGACCAATGAGGGAGCAGCTTGGGCTCAGATGGACCTCTGATCAAGTAATGCTCACGATGCAGAAAAAAATCTGGAAATTAAGCTGAAAGCTGGGGCATATGATGGACAGCTCATCTGGGTTTCTCAAGCTGAGTTCAAAGGGCTACTCCATTCTAAAATGGCCACTTTTCATTGGCCAGCCCTCCTCCCACCTGTCTCCATGTGTTCAGGCTGATGTTTCTGCCCATTTTATGCTGACATAAACAACTGAGAAGTGTTTTGCTGCTGCTGACAATGAGAGCTGAATAAAAGCAAGTCAGACCCTGAAACTAGATCATTAGCTGAGGTCAGGACTGGATCAGAAATTAGTGTTGTTTTCTTTCTTGTCCTGCGTTCTGGCCCCACTTATAGTTAGCAGTCCACTGGGCCCTGAGCCATTGGAGACTGTTTTTAATGGCAAAACCTTCAAAGTTGTACTTAAAATATTTACATCATAAAACCCTTCATGGGAGCTAAACTTAGCTTTCAGAGCAGACTCAGTACTAACCTTTAGAGATGGAAAGCATCCCTCTCACAGTGCCCCTTCTGGCCATTGCTCCCTGGAGGCTGGCGACACCCTGTGAGAATGGAATCATGGGAGACACTCACAGTACCCAAGAGCAGCTCTAACAGGCTTTTTGAAGCCAGACTTGTGTGAGATGACTCAGCAGTTCCCTGAGCAGTTCAGAGAAAGGGTGTTGTTCACACATTTAATTGATCCTGGGAGCAGAGAAAGATGAGCTGGAGGGTTGAGTATTCTCTTCACTCCCCTCGCTCTGCACTGCTCCCTGTCCTTGTTCAGTGGCTCTGTCTCCCAGAGAAGCCTGCTGAGGGTACAGCTTGCTCTAAAAACTAAACCTGATAATTAAAACCCATCCTTTAGACCTGTACTGCGGGTGGAATGGTGGACTAGAAGAGTGACTGTCCACAAAGGATTCCTAAGTTTATAGGAAGTGCAGGGTGGAACATAAAGAAATTACATTTGGCAGGACTGGGGATGCAAACTATTCATCCCAGGGACTCACAAGACTGAAGCAGGAGGATGACAAATTCAAGGTCTGCCAGGGCTACAGAGCACAGAAAGTTGGAGGTCAGCCTGGGCAACTGAGCAAGACCCTGCTTCAAAACAGAAAGTAAGAGGGAATATGTGTGGTCCAGAGGTCCAGCACTCAAACTCCAGGGTCTTGGTTCCATCCTGTGTACCATGAGAGGGAGAAAAAGAAATTAAGTTTATGGACAGAGATCATCCACAGATTTCTATATTGCCAAATGGGAAATGAAAGCTGAGGAAGGGGGGTTGGAGGGGGACTGGCAGGAAGGTAATCGGAGATAAAAACCATGTAATGGGGAAATGGGTGTCCTCTGTATGGAGGGCAATGCCAGCCTTGCCTTTTATCCAGGAGCTCTGAAGCAGACTATCTGCGGCTTGTTTTTTTAAAGAGAGAAAGCATGCTTACGTTCAGAATTACAACTCTCACCCACACACATTTTTTCAAGTCAATTTAATCCAGCTTGCTTTTGATCTAGTCATTACTCAGGGCTGAAGGTGCTTTTCCATTAAAGCCGCCCCTCTAACACGCGCACTCCCTGACCTGTGAACAGTCTTATTAGCTGCCTTATTAAGATGATATCCTGTCTTTGAAGTAAGAAAAGAAGATTATCTGCTTACCTCATGTGTCATCATTGGAGTAATCTTTATTCAAAAAAAAAAAAAAAAGGAAAATAGAAAGAGCTGAGTATTCAATAGACATCTGAATTTCTGGCACACAGTGCTCTCCTGAGGAGGGGGCGTTTGTCACCCACAGGTGGCCTGCAGGACTGTAGCAGTGTACTCTCCCAAGACTGCAAACAAAGGTGGAAACCAAGCCTTATCTGCTTGGCTTTAGGCTGCTTTTTTTATGTGTATGAATATATTGTCTGCATGTATGTAAATGTATTCATGTCTGGCAATACCCGCAGAGGTCAGAGGGGGGTGTCAGATTACCCTGGAACTGGAATTACTGACAGTTGTTAGCTGCCATGTGGGTGCTGGGAAACAAACCCCAGTACTCTGCAAGAGCAGCCAAGTGCTCTTAACCACTGAGCCATCTCTCCAGCCCCTTAGGTTCCTTTTGACTGGGGGAAATGCCTGAGCTTTGAGGACTCACAGACTGAGGCAGGGGCAGACCAAAATCACCCCATACAGAAGTACAGGTACACTTTGCACATGGTGCCTGTACCTGCTGTAGCAATAACCAGCGTGTGCACTTTCATATAAAACTAGCAGGCCAGAGGCCACAGGGTCAGGGCACCTATCTTGGTCATTCACCCTGGGCCTTCTCTTCAGATGCATTGGCACAACAAAGAACACTGCCTATGGGGGGCAGTTGTTGCCCATGTTGGGGGGTGGTCAGTTACCTCCCACTGTCTACCTCTTTTAAGTAAGAGTCAGAATAAAATTTCCTCCGTTTGCCAAAAAGGATTAGTCTTCTGGTTTCTTTCTTAAGATTTGATATTTGACTTCCTGGTAGAAAAATTGGGGAGGCCCAGGTCCCTCTCACCTCCCTGTTAATGGGACAGCCTTAGCCACTGTGGGGTGTACTGAGTTTGAGATAGCTCTGCCCCAGCTGACCACAGTGAGGAGATGGAGCAGTCCTGAACACAGATGTATCATTGTTATAGTTTGGGTGAGTGTTCCTCAAAGTCTGTGAGATGGTGCTTCTGGGAGATGAAAGAAACTTTGGCAGACAGGGCTTAGAGGGAGGTCTTTCGATCTTTGGGAGCATGCCCTTGATGAGGATGGGGACTCCAAGCTTCCCCCCTTCTCCCTTCTTTGTTTCTTCCCTTCCGGTTCCTCTTCATCATCTCCTTCCTTTTCCTTCTCCCCTTCTTCTACCTCTTCCTTATCCCGTTCTTCCTCCTCCTCCTCTTCCTCCTCATCTCTCCTCTCTGTCTCCACCTCCCCAGCCCCTTCTCTCTCCTCTGCTTCCTGGCTCAGGACATCTTGCTGCATTACATAGTTACACTATGATGTGCAGCTCTCATCACAGGCCCCCCAAAATCAAACAGGGCTGCCCAATCTGGGATCCAAATCTCTAGAAACATGAGCCAAAATAAGCTTGTCTTTCCTTCAGAAGCTGTCTGCATGCTCCACCAGAATAAGAAGCGAACACAGGCTCAAGTATTGACTTACTCATGATGCATACGCTTACATGACTGCATGTACTCCAATGGATAGTGTGGCATTGTCATAGTGGGGTCTCTTTGCAAGGGACAGTTGAGACACTCCATCTCTTTTAAGGGTAGACCTCAGGGTTCCCCTGCTCCTTCATGGGATGGAGACTTCTTTCTGAGGGTGCTAGGCAGTGCCCAGCATGGATCTTGGGGCACTCTGGGCCCTGGAAGTCACCTTCCTGAGCCAGCACTGATGGATAGAGTATCTTCACTGTCCTATTCAGGCTCATAACTATTTCTGCCTCTCCCCACTGCGGCTCAAATTGTCTGTGTTAATCTGCAAATACCTCTATGGTTTGGGTCCTCACAGCATTCACCATCAGTTCTCCTGCTCCAGTGCTTGCTGTCCTGAGTTTTAGCATTTGCAACAGGCCTTTTGGTCAGAGATAAACAAACTGCTGCCTTCCCTTTTCTACTTTCCTATTCCTGGATCAAAAAGGTGATAATGCCTTGGATTTAGTGACAGGATGAGCACTGCCACGGAACCAACAGATGCCAGACATTCTGTCAGCAGGTACTTTGGATGGGCCTCAAAGCTGGCCAAGTGGATGGGAGCCTCATTCTCTGTATCAGTGGCATCCTATCTAACGCCCCTTTATTTAGGCCCCTCAGCCCACACCTCCCAGGGGCTCCTTTAGGCTGTCTGGGTCTTCCGGAGTGTTCATTAAAAAGTGGTTCTAGTCTCTCCCATCCCCTCTCCTCACATGGTCAAGTCAGCAATCACCCACTTCTGTGTTTACACAGATAGGAAGAAACTTTCCACTTTCGCTAAATAGGAAAAAAAAATCACATCAGTTAATTAATATACGTTAAAAAAGAAACATCTAGGAGAGATTTGACAGGAAAACTACAGGTACCACAAAGAACAGGAAGAAATATGCCTTTTATTAGAAGTCTTGTATGTACAGGGAGAGCTGCTTCTCATAGCTCAGGAAGGCTGTGAGAAAAAGCCACTGCCATCCAAGGTCGCCGAGCTTACATTGGTAACACTACTGAGACACTGCTGCACGTCATTAACAGATAAAGCCATTACACACAGATGCAAAAGAGACATGGGGCCTGTGGACACTTCCCATATTTTCTAAAAACAAGTCGACACAAAAATACAGTGTGCCAATAAAAAAAAAATAGGCATATCAATACATGTCTTTTTTTTTTTTTTTTTTTTTTTTATCTGGGACTTGAACCTTGTTCATGCAGAGCAAGAGAAGCTTTTTTCACATCGCGGTTCCCAGGCACTTTAGCAATCCAGCCACAGTTTACAATACAGGGTCTTCAGACCAACAGATGAACAGTGGGAACTCATCAGAAGGCCTCACGACACATGCATGCATGAAAATATGGATGCAAAATCCAACTTTTGTTAGCGTTGTTTGGGGACACCAAAATGTTCTCTGGGAGATGCAAGACGGCTCTTCTCTTCTTTGTCTTTTATGTTTCACAGCAGAATTCGTAATGTGACCTCACCAGGCAGGGGCACGGCATGTGAGTGTAGGAGTGACCTCACTAGGCAGGGTTACAGCATGTAAGTTTGGGAGACAAATACTGATTCCAGCCAAGCTCAAAACCTGCATTGAGATCAAATTTTAGAATCCCAAATGACTGAGCTTTCCTGTTCCACTCTGTGGAACTCTCTTGCCAACCTGTCACAACAAAAAATTAATTAAAATAATGACTGGCCTTCACTCTTCCTGGGGGACTCTCTCTGTTCCCACCCCCGCAGACATCCAGACTGCTCCCACATCCCTTGTTCAGGAGCTAGACTGAACAAATGTATTTATAAATGGACTAGAATCATCATGTTAAGGGTAGGCTATAAGGCAGTTGGAAAGTCCCCCCAACAAAACAGCATTTCAAATGGCTCCGCTTCTTCACCACCAGGGCAGAATCTCTGTGATCCAAGAAGCTTAAGAAAGAGGGAAACCCAGATGATTTAGAGAACAGGAAACAATCCTGCTATAAAGTCCTGTTGAGTCCCAATTCCTGGGGCATACCCCTCACTTTCAACCACCAGAGACTGAGAGGTGGCCCCACAGCTGAAAGCCCAGAGGGAAAGGGGTCAGCAACACCCCCAGCCTTAGGATCCCTCTCTGAGGTGGAGCAATGTCAACCAAGTCATGGGCATCTTAGGGATGAAGTGAAGTTCCGGGTACTGCAGAGAGGCTGGCAGGCAATGCCTCGAACACATGATTGTCAGGAGTAGGAATCCTTCCACGAGACACGTTGAGATGCAGTGGCAAAGATATTAAGGCCTTCCGTTTCTTTGCCCATGCTGCTTAAAGGCACTGATATGAGCAACAGAAGTGTTCTGTAGTACCATCAAGGGTTTAAAAAACTCCCAGAACACAAGTCTTCATAGGAAAATGTCCTTTATTGCATGACATGATGCACAGCCATCCTCGTTTGAGCTCAGGAATAGAAAGGCCGCCCCTTCTCAGGTGTCTGCAGTCTGTTCAGCCTGGCCACCTGCGAGGGGGATGGAGGCACATCTTGCCGGAAGGGCCCCCTGACCCCGTCGGCTGGGGGCTTCAGCTGTTGCTCTTTCCGCCTCTGCTCCTGGCGGAGCAGCTCCTGGGTCTCCAGCATGACCCTGGCATTGAAGCCATGCCCGCCCAGGTAGCCGTTCCTCGAGCCCTGGTAGCTGGAATACCTGGGGTTCTCCTTGGCACTCTGGAAGCCTTCACCAGGGGCATAGTTCTGTTCCCAGGAGTCCTGTGAGACAGAGCTGGCATTCTTCCTGCTTTGCCTAGCAAGAAAGCAAAGGGGTCAGTCAGGGAGGAGAGACCTATAGTTCCAGGCTTCAGCAAATATCACTATGACCCCAGGCTCCACGCTGGGAGACAGAGATCTCAAAATTGGCTGTCAGTGCTTGGGAAGATGGCTCAGTTGGTAAAGTGCTTGCTGCCCAAGGATGAGGATTTAAGTTTGATTCCCAGCACCCATGTAAAAAGCTGGGTGTGGTAGCATCCGCTTGTAATTCCAGCTTGGGGTATGTGTGTAGAAAACAGGACCCTGGAACTGCTGGCCAGCCAGCTACCCTAAAGGCCAATGAGAGTTTCTGTCTCAAAGAAACAAGGTGGACAGCTCCTGGGAATGATATCTGAGGTTGTCCTCTGGCCTACACGTGTACATACGAGCATGTGTACCCCCACACAGGCACCTGCATGTATGTGCACATATAAACATACCACAAAAAAACTCCCTTGTTCTCAGCAAGCTCCCAGATTCAGCTAAGTGACCAACATTGACAGAAGCAGACAGCAGCTATTTAGAAACAGGTGTTTCTTCTCCTAGTTGGGTGTGCCCTTTGCTCTACTCAGGATGGTCATATCTCCTACAATGTGGGCACATACACATATAAAACATTAAAGATTTGGCAGCATCCAGCCTAGCAAAGCTGCCACTCACTTTAGACTATTTACAGTTTAGTTCTAAACAAGAAGCAAACGCTGCACTCAGCTGCCACCATGGTTGCAGAAACGAGGCCAAGAGGAAGTGCATGTGACAGATCACAGTGTGAGTTCAGGGAGGAAAGATTAAAAAATGTGACTGGCAGAGGGCTAGAGATGTGGCTCAGCTGGTAGAGCACTTGCCTGCCCTGGGTTCCACCCCCAGCACCACACAAACCAGGTAAACCAGGTATGGCGGTATATGCGTGTAATCCCAGCATTGGGGAGGTGGAGGCAGGAGGATCAGAAGTTCAAGGTCATCCTTGGCTACATAGCAAGTTCAGGATGAGCCTAAGTGACATGAGACTTGGTCCCAAAACAGCAACAACAACAAAACCAGCAACAAACAAAACAAACAATGCGGCAGGCAGTCCCTTCAAGGCTCAGCTCAGCTCTCTTCTGTGTTTCAGTGGCCAGCATAGGTCAGGACTGCACAATGTCCTGTCTGTAAAGGCTATTTTCTTGATGTCACAGGTTTCCTTTACCACAGGCCTAGGTAACTCACTTCTTCTTCCTCAGAGTTGGGAGATGAACCCAAGTCACCTAGAAATGTGAAATTCTCATCACTTCTGTACACCACCCCAGGAGAAGGACATAAACCCAAGCCACCCACAAACTTTGCATCCACTTCTGTAGTGGAGTTGCTGTGATTTTCATGAAACATTATTGCTTTGAAACATCTTTAAATTACTATCAAGGCTCTAGATGCATCTATGAATTTACAATAAGATTGATTTTGATAAAGTAAAACAATTTTGTGCCAGGAAGGAAGACATGCCCTAATTTTTTCCCCTTGAAAATGGAAGAGGGAGGAGAGATGACAGTCATAAAGAAAATGTATTGCTCCATTTATCAATAAGAGAATCATCCGGTGACAGTACATGAGGTTCGGTCTCTTGCATCAGCACACACAGCACGTTGAATGTTCACAAGAAGTCCTGCCTGTGGCAAAACAAAACAAAACAAAACAAAAAAACGCGTGGAAAGCCACCGTGCTTCCCATGGGAATGGAGGATCAGCTGGACATGCAGAAGTGCTGGCAGTGTGGTCTGGGGTAGAATCTGCCCGTTTTCCATATGGCTGGAACTGTAGTCAGGGAGACTTTGAGTCAGCAATGGCTGTGAGCCACTGAGAAGAACATTGTTTCTCACTAGGCTGTCCTCAGAGCCACACTAGAGTCTTCAAATGGGATAGAGTACGTTTATTTGCCTAGAGCACTGATTATCTTCCACTTAAAAAGTCATAAATTAATCTGTCCAGAGTTATGAATGACAGAAGCCAGGGACTTGGCATGAAGCCAGGGACTTGACATTACTTACGAAACCTTAATTAAAACAATGAACATGTGTCACTGATATAACAGCAAGGGACGGGGGCTCTATGAGTCAGTTATCAGTTTAAAGATAATCAGAGGTGTCACATCTTCATCCCTGGCCTCCCAAGAGCCACAGCCTCCTTCCTCCCTGCCCTGTGTGCCCTCTGTACAACAAGTTGCATTTTTGATTCACCCCAGGAATGCAGGTTCTTTCTGTGTTTAAATCCATGAGAATTCACTGAGGTTTGTACAGGACGGACAAGGTGATGCTGTGGGTGGGAGGAAGGCACTGTTTTATAGGCCAAGTTTTCTTCAGATTAATGAGTCTAGAGTAAAGGAAGGCTTTAGGTTTGAAATAAGGCAGGTGGGGAAAACACAGGCACACAGGCACAGAACACAAACACCTTGCTTTCCTTGGTGGCAAAGCTACTCAAGGGGCCTGGCAGGAGAGGGCATGTGGGTGAATGCCTGGTGGAGAAGTGCAAGGGAGGGGACTCACACAGCAGACACACAGCCACACAGGGGAGGAGGAAGAGGAAAGGCAGAGAGCATAGGGGAAGAGCAATGGCACCCTGGATGCTATGTCCTCCCCCCAGTGACTGCCAGTACACAGATCTCTGCTCCAATGAAGGGCTGCCTTTGGATGCCAAGGGATGAAACTCATCTAGGAAGTTAATAAAGAAAATAGGCTGGTCTAACTGAGAGCAGGGTGTGGGCTGCTGGGTCCCCTTCTCCATAAATGGGTGCTACCACCCTGCCCATGCTTCCTATGGACATTCCATAGTGTGATTCCTACTCTGCCCATGCATGCCCCTCGTCACAGCTGGAGTTTACACATGAGGCTGGCTCGTGCACACCCCTGATTCAAACACCCCTCTCTACTGCAGGTGATGCAGTTCTGGCCATTTGTTTTTTGTACACCCCATAACTGAACTCATGAGCATCAAATGACACTGGTGTTCAATGCCATCCCATGACTTATCTACACGAAAACTAATCAGCATCCAAAAAACAGAGGTTAAGTGCTTCTGAACATGTCACAAACTTATGTTTGATTGGAGTTCATGAAGGTGGCTCCTCACACTCCTCTGACCTCCTGCTTGACCTTCCCTAGACCACTGACCATAGCAACTGGTTGTGAGTGGTATGACATGGAAGGGACAGGGCTGGGTGAGCTCTCCTGCTTAACCTTCCCTTCTCATACCAAGGCAGCACCGAAGCCATTCCCTAAGAGAGAAGAACGTGAGGCAAAAGGTTCCTCATCCCTCTTGTTAAAATTTATGCAATTTTATTTTGGGAGACCTGCTTTTCCCATATCTAAAGGCATAAAATGACTCAAAATAGGGAACTAGAATGATCTGGGAGGGAAGTTTATTTTCTATTGTGGGAACACTCTAGCATCCATAGTGCATTCAATAGTTCAGCATACTTGTGCTTGCAAATGTGGATGGTTTTAGCAGGTGTTTCCAGGAAGAGGCAGAGGGAGAGGTACAGGAGAGGGAGGTAAGGTAGAGAAGGCCAGCTGAAGAGTGAAGACAGGCACACCAAGGTAACCGTGGGAGACAAAGATTGATCCAACATTCAAAATACCAACAGAGGGCTCTGACTGTTCCCAACACAAATGACGAATCTGTCTAAGGCGACAGCTGTGCACATCACTGATCTGAGCACATACGCACCGCATGCACCCATTGAAATGCCACACTAAACCTCACAAATAGGTGCTATAATGGTGCATCAATTAACACGGCCAGTGGGCCCCAGCAGAACTTCCTAAGGACTGAGGCCCTCCTAGCAGTCCTGCCTTCCAAGAGCTTCCCACTCCTGCATCTTCTGCCTTTTATTCCCCAGTTCCTTCTCTGGAGATGAGAACTTTGTTACAGTTCTCCTTCATTTCCTAAGAATACTCCTTAACACAGCTGAAATAGGCAGCTGAAACCGACAACTTGCCAATATAAACAAGAACATAGCTCCTGGAACTCCATCCACACACATCTGATGTGCCACTGTTTGCCTATATGACCACGGATGTGGGACCACGGCAAGGTGTATGGACTCATCATAGCAACATGCTCGCCTTTGTGATGGAATGCCAGCTCCAAGCTAGGGGATGGGGTCTGACAGAGAAGAGCTGTCTACATAACTCTCATTGTGGCTGCCCCTTAACTCACTGGGTGCATCCACACAGAGGCCCTTCCCAAATGTCCGGGCAGTGGAGCACCATGGGAAGCTTGCCAGCTGATCATATTCTGAACTTGGGAAGGAAAGCCCTGGGTAGCTTGAATTCTGGTGGAAGCATTTACTGACTGTGTGACCCTGGGGCAGTCACTTCATTTCCTTCACTTCTGTGAGTTATTTCTTTATAAGACAGGGACATCTTCAAAGACCTGTATAGACCTAACCCTCAATGCCTCTTACCCAGGGAGGGCTAATGTCTGTGATGATTTAATCCCTATATCACAGCAAAATCGTTAGTCCTCCAAGGAGATACATTTCACAGACATAAAAAGGACAATGGGATGAACATATTAGCACATCAATGCTGCGTGTGCTGATGGGAACTTCTTCATATCCATGCCCTCTTGGCTAACCCCCGCCAATGTCAACTTCCTTGAGGCTGTCACAGTGATTACTTAACTTTGGAGGATTTTCCTTTATCACAAAAATGAAGCAAGCTCATTTTCACATGAGTCAGTCAATGCATAGATAAGATCCATCTCTCCCAAAATGTTTCACTCAAATTTACAACAGCGGATAGGACGAATGGGTCTTTGGATGCTCAGAGATCTTGTCACCTCACTTTGAGACAGGACACATGTGACCATACAAGTGACTTATTTGGGGGAGTCTGAAAACCTGAGAGGTTTTCAATACATTTATTATACTATGTATTTCCTGGGAAGAAGACTGATGGAAAAATGGTGGTGATCTCAGTGTGTGGGGGCCCTGTGGTGTGACAGAGTTCTACTTCTTTTCACAGAGGACACTTGGAGCAGAGGTTCCTCCCCTGGGAGTTGGACACATAAGCCTCTCCTGCTTGGTTGTCAGTTAACGAGCCGAGCATCCCTGGGACTCTGCACTCCCATCCGGAGTAGCGGCAGGGATAGAAGCAACTGAGTAAAGTTTGTGACCACAGAGCCACAGATGTGTGTGCACAGAGCATATACTCCACTGTAACAGAGCCTAGCACACAGCATTCATCTGTGAACTCTGTAAACTAGGCATCATCTCAGCCTTGCTGCGACAGAGCCTAGGTGCACAGAGCATTCATCTGTGAACCCTGTGAACTAGCTAAGCAAAGGCATCATCTCAGCCTTGCTGCGACAGAGCCTAGGTGCACATAGCATCACTCACCCTGGAACCCCGTGAGCTAGCTAAACAAAAGAAATGTTACACCCTCATTTTTCTGACTAGGGAAACTTTCACTTTTGGTATGGGCAGATGGAGATGTTGTTGTCTCAGGAAATGCCTTTCTTCCTAGTCCTGCTGCCACTGGGTTAGAGGTGCCCTCCCCAAGCCAAACAAGCCTGCACTGCCCACTCCTTGGTGATTCCTGCTCTAAGCTAGATCTGAAAGGCTGGGGGAGTCTTACCTGGGCAGCGAGCTGTACTGGCGCTGAGCCTGCTGGAAGCTCTCTCGTTCCTCCTGCCTTTGCCGTTGCACTTGAACCTCTACTGACACTGAGTGTCGACCGCTCTGTGCAGCTGGCCGTGAGCTGGGCTGTAAGAGAGAAACAGAGCTTTCAGTAAGAAGGGATGTTGTGGTGACACCATTTCAATTTTGGTTTTTTTCTTTTTTCAGTGCTGTGGATGGAACCCAGTACGTGCCTGCACATGTTGGGCAAGTGCTCCATCTCTGAGCTATACCCTCAAGCTCCCAATTTGACTCTGACCAAATGACTTTGAAACATTTCACAAATTCTATGATTTTCTTTCTCCATATCAAGTTTGTTTTTTATTTTATTATTTTGAGAAATGGCCTCATATAGCCCAGTCTGGCCTTGAACTCACTGTATGACTGAAGGTGACTTTGAACTCCTGATTCTCCTGTTTCCACCTATTGAATGCTGGCATGACAGGTCTACACCAACATGGCAGTTTTATGTGGTACTGGTGCGGATCACAGGGCTTTGTGTACTAGGCAAGCTTTCTGCTAACTGAGCTATGCCCCAGCCCTGCCTCCTACTCAAGTTTCTTTGAGAAAAGAAGCTTTTCATTGCTCAGCTGAGTTCACATACTCCATCTTAGGTTACGAACAGTTTTAGTGCAGTTTTAAATGGAGACGCCAACCTGTTGGTCCTCTTAGTGAGGCTTGGTAACTACTGACATAGATATCCAGTTACAATACTTACACAGCAAACACGAGGACAGTAAGGCTGCTCCGAGGGCTAAAAGAAGTTAAGGCTCAAACCAGATGGCTGGGAATGTAGCTGACTTGGTGCGGCCCTCACCCAGCATGCACAAAGTCCTGGCTTTGATTCCAGCACTGCATAAACTGGGCATGGTGGTACATGCCTGTAATCCCAACATTCAGGAGGTAGAGGCAAGAGGATCAGAAGTTCAAGGTCCTTCTCAGTAGTGAGTTTGAGGCCAGCCTGGTCTACATGAGATCCTGTCTCAAACCAACCAACTAAACAACCAACCAACCAACCAACCAACAAACAAAAAAGCAGACTAACCATTTGCTATTGTAACTCACAAAGGTGGGTGTCACAGGTCCATTCTTTAAGGCTGGCTGAACTGTGAACTTCCTGATACGTGCCCCCTTTAATCCCAGCCATGGCATACACTACAAAGGCTCCTTTTATGCTATGGAGCGACAGCTCAGTTTTGAAATTTAACCAAGATGACTTTAAATGAGGCACTGTAAGCAAGGATAGGTCTTCTTTTCTCAAGAATGTCAGCTGAAGCGGAACAGGGACCCTTACCAACAGCAGGAACCAGTGAGCTAATTGAGTATTCTATCAACCACACTAGTCTAAGTTATATATCTCCTGTGGTCAGTAGGAAGTGGCATGTGATCAGGGTGAACCTACCCTATCGAGAAATCTTCAATCTACCTGGCCACACATGCTGGCCAGGAGGTCTTGTTGATTGCAAATTGTTACAGGGGATTATCAAGCTCCATACTGTGCTGTGTAGATCACGATCCTGTGGAGGCTTCAATTTCCCACAGACAGTTGTTACTTTGCCTTCTAGATTAGGACTTTTGAAAAGGAATCAGCATTGCTCGAAATAGCTATTGAGGTTACAAAATATCACTGCATGTCAGTACCACAAGCCACCCTTCTTGGTACCTAGACTGCCCCTTTGTGTTGCGCCACATTGTACAATGTGCATATTCTGCATGAAGAATGTCTGTTAAAAATTTGTCATTTAGTATAACCAAAGAGTAAACTCATCAGTATATTTCTTAAAGAGTTCAAGGGATTATACTTCCCAGACATTAGGCTTAAGTCTATATAAAAAGTTATTTAAGGCCAGGCGTGGTGGTATACACCTTTAGTCCCAGCACTTGGGAGGCAGAGGCAGGCAGATCTCTGTGAGTTCAAGGCCAGCCTGGTCTACATAGTGAGTTCTGGGCCAGCTGGGACCAGCTTGAGACCCTGTCTCAAAAAGACCAAGGGAAAAAAAAAGGTTATTTGGAAAATTATTTCTCATTGATGATTTTGTTTCTAACCAGAAAGTGCTGCTCAGATGTAAGACTTCAAATCTTGGTCTCCAATACTGTAGTGCCCACCTGTAGCTAAGGGAGACAACCTGCTATTGTTCTAAAATGGATAGATTTGTTCCCCCGCCCCCAATCTAGAAGCCTTTAAGAGGGAACTGACACTGATTCTGACCACTCCAACAGCTATCAAAATACCTGAAAGCAAATCCTGAATCCATCACTCTAGAGTCCAGCCTTAGAAGACAAAAGAAAAATGAGGAGGAACCCAATAGAAGGATGCTTTTGGAAACCCCTGTCAAGATAGACCCACTGAAGGGGTACTCCAATTACCTCACCCTGCATCCCTGTTCAGCATGGAAGAGGCCAGAGTGGTCTGCGTCCCAATTCCCTACTGGCAATTTGGGTAACCTCTTCAGAGGATGATGTGGTAAGAATAGGAGATAAGAATTGGCTAGGCAGTTAGGGTAAAAAGACC